GTTTGGAGACATAATCCCTGACTGCAGGCAGCTTTGCTCTCAGGGGCAGCAATAGACCCCTCAAAAGTGACCAATACCTCAATCTCTAGACACAGTATTGCACAGGGGTAGGAACAAGGTGCCAAGGGGGCACTGGGGAAGAGGAAATGATTCAGCCTGGGATACTGGGCAAATCTCTGAGTTGGATCTTGGGCAAGTGAACACCGAGGAACAGCTTCCAGGTGGGGCAGACATCTGTCCTCCAGGCCAGGTGAGCATCAGGTGTAAGTATGCTGCAATGGGGCCACAGTGGAGGCGGAGAGCGAAGAGGGCTAGGTCCTACGGAGGAGCAGGGGCAGGCCGTGAGCAGAGAACTGGCAGGGAGGACCCCAAGCAGGGAGAGGGCAGGGGCAGGCTGCTGCACTAGTCCAGGCCAGAAGCCTCCATGAGGCTCCGACCCGGGAGCGCCTGCATCAGGGGGACTTTGATGGAAAGTGGAGATGCCACGAAGACCACTGCCAACTGTTTAAAGGCAGCGCTGGCTGTGCGGCAGAGCACAGGAAGGAACACGATGTCCTCTCTAAAGTTGCTGCCCACACATCCAGGGCTAATGCTGCGGCTGCTGGACGACTCGCTGTGCCAAACACAGCCACATACGTGGAAGAAATAATGAGACAGGAACTCATTTCTCCCCGATCGTTTGATAAGATGCAGAAGATACGGCTAATTATCAGGAGCCTGCTCTGTCTCTCTGCCGTGCCTTCAGGGAAGTATGTAATTGTCTTGGCACTGAGCCAGGGATGGGAAACCAAGTGGGAGAACTGTCCCTGGAGTCTGCAGGAAGCCTGGCCCCGCACCTGCGGGCCATCTGGGTGTGGGGGGCTGCAGCTGGCCCCGCACCTGACCTGCGGGCCATCTGGGTGTGGGGGGCTGCAGCTGGCCCGTCAGGACACAGCTCCCATGGTGACCCCGGTGAGGAGCTACCACAGAAACACAAGCGGTGAGGGCTTCATCTGTAACTTCGTTTATTCTCAGGGCCCCCAAACGGGCACCATGTGACTGGGGCGCTGGAGCCCAGGGAGGCCGTACCAGCAGGTGTTGTGGACCTCAAGTCTGCGTTAGCAGGAATAGATTCATCAGGACACTCACCAGCTGAGTGCAGAGCCAGCAAGCCCCGTCCAGATGTGGGTCTAGAAGTGCTTCAAATTTTGAACTTTTTCATATTTTGGAATATTCTCATATACAAGGTGAGACATCTTAAGGGTGGGATCCAAGTTTAAACATGAAATTCATTTGTTTCACCTACATGCAGCCCGGGGCCACTCTGCAGTGGCTCTCCTGCACCTAGACTTTGATTGCAGCTGTCCTCAGAGGTCAGGCCTAGAATTGTCCATGTTAGGATTCGGACTTCTAGATCAGGGATGCTTGGACTACATTACAGAAGGATTGAAGAAACAGAGCCAGGGTTCGGCAGTTACTCCCAAAGCCAGGCCATGGAGGAAGCCTTGCCTCTCCCGGGTGCGGGCACACTCCACACATGCCTGAGCGAGCTCTCTGCTGCGGCTCCCGGAGCAAACCGCAGCTGCTGCAGGCTGCAGCTCGAGCACGTGGAGTCCTGCTGTCCGCTCCTCCTGTTGCCCCGCTCTGTGCTCGGCTCCCTAGGCCTCCGGGTCTCCCGGGCTCCGGGCTCCAGGCTCTGAGCTCCGAGCCAGCAAACAGGGTCGTGCTCAGGTCTGAACTGCAGGGAGCCAGGGAACAGCGCCTTGTGCGGACTCTGCAGAGAGGGGAGTGCGTGCTGGGCCACACCTCGGCAGGCCCTGCAGTCCAGAGGAGGACGGAGACCTTGGGCTGGCCCCCTAGGGCTGGGCAGCTTTGGGCACCTCCTCACAGCAAGCCCTGCTGCCGCCTGGAGTCCTCCATGCAGGCTGACCTCCAGCCTGTGCTCCCTCCTCGGAAGAGACCACCTGACCTCAGAGTGTGAGCCAAGCCTGCAGGGAAAACTTCCCCACTCCGCCAGCCTCGCCAGGCCTCTGCCCCAGGGCACTGTGTCCTCACCATCCCTCCCAGCAAGCCCATGACATGGGTGTGTGAGGTCACTGGCTGCCCTCTATGGGTGTCCTGGGTCATGCTGAAGCTCCAAGCAGGTCAGGAATGCTGCAGGAGGGACCCGGACCAGCCATCTCTGTATTCCTGACAGTTAGGAAGTCAGTGTTGAAGACAAAAGCGAGTCAAACTTTCCTATTCCCAGGAAAGCCTGTTTCCTGCATTAGAGAAGGGGAAATAGTGTTTGTGCCCCCACAGTGTGTGTGTGTGTGTGTGTGTGTGTGTGTGTGTGTGTGTGTGTATGTGTGTGTGTGTGTTGGTGTGTGTGTGTATGCTTTGCTGGATTCTGATCAGAAGAATTACTATGCAAGGTAAAACTGCTGGGATCGGTTCCCGCTGCTGAGTGAAGCCCCAGCCTGAGACCCGGTGCCAGGTCCGGTGCAGGCGCCGCCTCACCTTCGGGCTCTGCCCGCTCTGCCGAGACTTGCTGGGCCACGTCTCCGGCCAAACAGCTGAAGCAAAGCCAGGGAAGCGTGAGCAGGAAGGCGAGAGGCAGACAGCTGAGCTGGCTCGGGCCTGACTGCAGGAGCTAATGAGGGTTGGCAGGACGCAGCTCTTAGCCTACGCGCTGCTCCACGCAGTGGGGCTGGGTAAGAGGGCCTTCCTTCAACACACGGGCGCTGAGCTCTCCTTTCCTCTCCAGGAGGTCTGTGAGGCACCGGAAAGGCACTCAGTCCTGGCAGGCATGGTCTTGGCCACTCCCCAAGCAGGACCAGACTGGCTGTGTGGCTGGTGGGATCTGATGGCAGAAAGATGAAAAAGTTGAGGGACTTCCGTGGTTTCCTTACACCTTTCCTCTCACCCCTGGGACAAAGGGAGAAGCAGCCTAGTCCATTTTTATGTTGCTATCATAAAATACCTGAGATCAGAAACATAGTAAAGAAAAGAGGTTCAGTTAGTTCACAGTTCTGCAGGCCCAAGAAAACGGTGCATCATTCGCCAAGGTTTCTTGACATCTATTTCCACTACTTGTCAATCCCTGCCTTTGCTGTGCTTTTTTCTCTCCTTTTTTTGGAGGTGGTGGGCATGGAACTCAGGGCTGCAGGAATGCTAAGCATTGCTGCTGAGCCCCACCCCAGCCCTCCACGCAGACTCGGCCCATAGTAAGTAGTAGGGCTGTTTCCCAGACCCTGTGAATAACTAACTGCGGCAAAATACCGTGAAAGATAAGAGTGGGTCTCAATATTACAATCCAAGGTACAGGCAGTGAGCAGAGAGTGGCTGTGAAGTTTTATATATTCATTCAAGAAAATGAGCCTGGCTCAGGAGGTGACACCCAACACACGGAAACATGGTGAGGGAAGCTTGCTCAGTGACCCATTCAGTTCTGGAGTTCACAGTGTCACAGTGGCCTTTGGGGCTATGAAGAGTCTGGTGATTTTTAAAAAGTGTCCAGACCCAGAGTGTGGGTGGCCCCCGGTGGAACTTGGGGCATGCAGTGTCTGAAGTGGGTGTCTGCGCAGTGGGAGGAACCTTGCTGCGTCATGAAACATTGTGTGGAAACTCCGGCCGCTCTTCTCGGCTTGAGGGACTCATGCAAAGGAGAAAACTGGCTTCTGGTCGAAGGACATTTTCGTGTTTCAGCTGGGCTACACCCTTCTTTGCCTCCTCAACCGGACTCCTGTCCTATGTGTGGTTCTTATGCTTTACAATCTCAGTACTTTCAAAGCGGTTACAAGTAAGGCACAGATCTTGTGCGGATGCGGCATATTTTAAATCTTCAGTTGTCAAAAACAGGGAAGGAGTTGTTTCCCCATAATGCAGTGAACCAGAGGATCCACAGCCCAGGGTGGGATGAACAGTCTTGAATTGCTTTGAATGACAAGATATGTTGGAGGAAAAGTTAAGATTTTTTTACTATTACGTCTTTTCTAGAAAAAGCAATACTTTGTAAAAGTGCTAACATTGTCATAGTTGACAAGAATGGGTAAGATGAAACCCAAGCATAAATTTCTATGAAAGGGACAAAGACTCTTCCAAGGACTATTAAGAAAACCACAGACTGCAGGATACATCATTTTCCCAGGAACCTCCATCCAAAGTGCATAAAGAACTATAAATCTGTAATAACAAGAAATCCAGAAAGAATCAAGATTCTGAAATCAGAATTTCATGCAAGAAGATGTGTGCATTGCCAAAAAGCACATGATAAGATCTTTAATATCATCATCAGGAAAGTTTAAATTTAAAACCACACTAAGGTATCTTTACATCCTCTAGGATGGCTAAAATGGAAAAGATTCACTATACTACATTAAGTGCTGACCAAGATCAGAGCAACTGAAATTCTCTCACATTGCTGATACAATATAAAATGGTCCAGCCACACTGAAAAACAGTGATCATTTCTTTTTTTTTTTTTTTTAACCAGTGATCAAACTCATGACTTTGTGCTTGGCAGGCAAGCATCTGAGACACTGAGCTAAATCCCTGGCCCCTGAGTGGTCATTTCTTTTGAAGTAAAACATCGACTTACAATATTGCTACAGTTTGGATCTTGAAAGTCTCCTGAAAGGCCCACGTGTGGAAGACTTGGTCCACAAGCAGTGGCACTGTTGGAAGGTGATGGAGCCTTGATGGGCTGGGTCCCCCTGGAAGAGTTAAGATCATTTGGGGTCCGTGCATTCAGGGCACATCAGGACCATGGCCTTTTTCTCTCTTTGCTTCCTATGGTGAGCAGTTTCTGGGCCTGGGACTCCAACCATGATGTTCTGGCTTGCCATAGGCCCCAATGTCGAAGATTCCCTTGACTGTGGACCTAGACCTCTGAAACTGTGAGCCAAACTAAATCTTTCCTCCTTATAAGTTGTTTATTTCAAGTATTTTGTCATAGTGACAGAAAGCTAACACAAGTAGAATTCATTAGTTGCATTTCAAGATAGAAATAAAAACACATTTTCACAAAAAAGACATGTATACAACTGTTCACCAAAGCTTTATTCACAAAAGCCAAAACTTAGAAGAAAAATCCAGCAGTCTGAGTTTTCACCAAGTAAATAAAAAAACTCCAAACTCTTTTGTAGGTGCACACATTGGAGATAACCTTGCAGGTGGTTCTCAGAGCACAATGATGAGAGCCAAAGAAGTCAGATACAAAAGAATTGATCCTGGGTGGATTTAACTGCATGAAGCTTTAGAGCTTGCAGAATACACCCAATGACAGTATCAGGTAACTAGCTGTCTGAGGTCCATGTGAGCGGTAGAATCCACTGCAGAGAACCCAAGGGAACTTCACATGGCGAGGGAATGGTGTCTGTCTGAGTCGTGTGGTGGTTACAAGACTGAACGCTTTAGTCAAAATCCCTGCAACAGGGCTGGTTGGGGCTCACTGATAGGTGCTCCTCTAGCATGCTGGAAGCCCTGGGTTCAGTTCACAGCACTGCAAGAACATAAAAACAAAATTTTCACTGAAACACACGCTTAAACATGCACCTCAGTGTAGGTGAACTACTTTATTGGCACATAAAACAAAGACTTCTGCAGAATCAGCCACCTGGGAAAGGTTCTGTTTCCTTCAGTGTGGCAGGTTTTCATGTGGACAGGAAATTAATCCTTTCTGAGATTTAGTTCCGTTATGATATCGATCAGGATTCACATTTAGCATATGCACCTGGAAGTCAGGAAGTCACACTGTCCAAGACAGTCCAGAGCCGTCCTCAAAAGCACTCACTGTAGGCAGTGCTTTAACTGCTCTGGGCAGTGCTCTATGACTTGAAGGAGCTGCTGATCTGCTGAAAAGTTCGTCAGAAAGGGCTTTTTTTTGTACTAGGGATCAAACTCACGACCTCGTGTTTGCCAGGCAGCTGTCACTGAGCTAAATCCCCGGCCCCAGAAAAGGGCATTTTAAGAAGAAAAATTCAGGACATTGCTTATACAGTTGTGTGTATGGGAGCTTTCTCCTCGATTTACATTGTATTTTCTATTGAAAACAAGGCTGTAGAAATAATCTGCAAATACTGTGCTGTAAACGCGCTTTCAAGAGCAAGCACATCTCTGCCCACAGCCACCCTCACATCTTCGCCCTTTTACCAGCACCCCAGAGAGGCAGCACGCGCAGGGTGGCGGTTTTTTATGAAGCGTTTCTTCACAAATCCTCCAAAGGTAAATTCGGTATGCAGCGGGGAGAGGTGACCAGCAAGGTAGCGCAGTGGGGAGCTGCGGGGCCGCTAAGAGACTGCTGGGCTGAGGCCACGGCACAGAGCAAACCTGTGGGTTCAATCCCCAGCACTGGGGTGGGTGGGTGTCAAGGTTTAGGGCTGCCACTGCAGTTACATTGCAGAAAACTATGAAAAAGAGGCATCACAAAATCAGTGTGGCTCCTTGGCTGCTTTGCTCAGGCACAGAGGTGCTACAGGGAGACGGCCAGGAGCCTGGCGGAAGCAGCAGTTCAGAGGCTGAAAAGCTGCATCCCAACAGGTGCTGAGCGCTCAGAGTTCTGGGTTCAAGTTCCAGGCTTAGGACTCAGCAGGCAGCACAGGCTCTTCCTGACAAAACCAGAAGGGCTGCTCCTGCAAAGTAAGGCTGCATCAGGAACCGAGATGGCAAAGCTAGAGCAGACGTGCAGCCCAGACGCAGGAGGAACAGAAGGCGCCACTGTGGAGAGGAAGCCACGGGACTCCTGGTCAGCGCAGCCACCAGGAGCGAAGCCACACTGACATGAGAGAGACACCCCACGGGAACAAGGAATAAGCCAGGAGAGGAGACCATGACCAGGAGAATCCAACAGAGCTATGGATGCTGAGTTTACCAGACAAGCAATTTAAACCAGGTATTATAAACACATGAGGGGATTTACAAGAAAGGATGGAGGAAAAGGGACAAAGAGAAGCAGAAATGCCAAAAGCGGAAACAAGTGAAAATGCTAGAATTGAAATTACATGCTACAACTATTTTACAAAATCACTTCCTAGACCTCATTAAAGACTACACAGCGGATGAAAGGACCATGAACTTGAAGATACAGCCCTAAAAGGCATCCACTCTCCGAAGCATAAAGAGAAAAGAAATTTCTAAAAAACCCTGAAAATCATCAGTACCAGTACTCTGGGAGGCTGAGGCAGGAGGATTGCAAGCTGCAGTTCAGCCTGAGTACTTTCACAATTTAGAAGAGCCTGTGATAAAATATAACATGATTGGAGACACAGATTGATGCAAAGGCCCTGGTGTTGGAGAAAAAGTTAAGAAAACCAAGAGGAGAAAAGGAAAAGGGTTCCGGGGAACAGCAACAGAGGCTGGTCTAACATACACACAGCTGGAGGCTGGAAGCAAGGAGGAGACAGAGCAGTGAGAGAGCTATGTCTGGTGAGAAGACGGTCTTTTCCCCGGAAAGTGAGATAATGAGACCCACAAACCCAAGGCCTCAGTGACCCAGACACGAGAAATAGAAAAGGACACGGAGTCAAACTTCCGAACAAGAAAAAGAAAAAATCAGCCAGGACAAGCATCGTGTTCCATCCAAAGAGATGACAAAAATAATTACGGCCGGCATCTCAAAGAATAATGTCGCAAGACATTTAAAAGCAACTTTAAACCTACAGGGAAAAAATAATGCCGATCTAGAATTCTGTGGGGAGCATAAATGCCTTTTGAAAACACAGGCAAATAAAGACATTTTCAGGTAAAGAAAAATTGAGAAATTTGTTGTTACTAAATCTTCACTACACGCAAGGCTAACACATTTTTTTAGGCTGAAGGGAAATGATTCCAGGTGCAAATTGATATCTACAAGAGACTGAAAATCACTGTGAATAGTAATTCTTTGGGCATAAATAAAAGGCTATTTTTAAATGTTCTTTAAAGTACTTTTATCCATAAAGTCCAAAAATAAGTACAAGTAACATGTACAAATGCAGTCACGGCACAAAGGGCCAGGGTGATAAACGGAACCCTAACATCACACGCCACACTGCAGAGGTGTAACAGCCACAGAAAGCCTGTGAATGGCTGGGAACGCGCATTGTAATCTACAGGGAACCGATAAAACATCTTGGACAGGCAGACTTCAACCCCGAAGCATTTTAAAATCCTAAAAATGACTTGACTAAACCACAGGACGGCAGAAAGGGAGGAGCCGTCACAAGGCAGTAGACGTCTCTCCACCCTGCCTCTAGCCCTGTTAGATGTGAGTGAGCAGAGCAACTTCCAGCTGTGACAGGCCAGCTGCCCTCTGGGGTGAGCAGGCTAAAGACTGCACAATTGCTTGACCGATACCCGTGCACATGCCTGTGGGCTTAGAAGGAGACCTTGACAGAGTGCAAGGTCTCCCTGGATCGGGAAGACAGAAGTGGGGCTCAGGGAGGTTGCAGCTTGTCAGAGATGAGAGGCTGTCATGGTTTATGTTGGTGGCCCTCAGGCTTCATGTACTTGCATTGTGCATTTGTGATTGTTTCATTGTCTAGAGCTTGGATTGATGGTGTCAGTGCTACACCCACATAGGGGTGGAGCCAGCATACAATGAAATGGCAGGAAGACGGTGTGTCTCTCTCTCTTGCCAGTTTCTGCCTTGCTGTTTGCAGTTGCCATGACCTGGCAGCCTCGCCATGCCACTCTGCTTTGGAGCCAACTGAGTGTGGACTGAAACCTCCAAAAACTGTAAGAAATCAACCTTTCCTTTCCCAACTTTGAGCATCAGGTATTTTGTCTCAGCAACCCGTAAAATGTAACTAAGACAGATTTTGGTACCGAGGAGTGGAGTTGTTGCTGTGACTATATCTGACCATGTTTTTCAAGAGGCTTTGTAAATGGCTTGTGGGAAGAGTTTGGAAAGGTTTGGACATGTTGCCTGGATGCACAGAGCTGGAGCAGCTTAGGCTGTTCTGTATAAGAGATTCTGGTCAGAGCTCAGGAGACCAGAAGGCTGATAGCCTGACAGTAAAGATCAGGCTTGGGAGGTTTCTGCTGGGAAGAAGGACTGCATTGGTTGTTGGACTCCCCACGATGTGTGTTATGGCTTGGCAGATTAATCAGTCCATTGCCCTTAATCTCAGTCTCAGGCAAAGTCTCTGGGCATGAGCAAAATGCAGACTAACTTTCTCCCAAGTCTGGTCTTTACCATCAGGAAATTCAAGGCAGTCAAATGTTGACTTGGCTTGGCTATTGTTGGGGGCTTTTAGCCAGCTTTATGTTGCAAAAAAGTTTTAAAATCTTAGACATGCAGGATAGAATCAGAGGGGAAAATGAAGAATATCATCAAACTTTATGCAACTGGCCACTCCTAATTACCTATAGAATCTTCAGCTCTGCCTGCAGAACATGAGGCTCAAGGCCCCACAAGTCCTTCCTCTCTGCCCACAGCCCAGCTTGACCTGGTTCTGCCAGGAGTGAAGCTACCAAGTCCATTTACCAGAAGCACAGATTTCCCACCCAAGCAGAACCTCTCTTCACACAGAGCAGACCCGACACCCACATCTGTTCAGGGTCCACTCTGCAACTCCTGGGAGCTGAAGGATACCCTACCCACCCTGGAGACTGGAAAGATCCCTGCTTAGGCCCTGCCTGTTTGAGAGAATGTCTGGCAGAGCTGGACCTTGGAATTTCTTTCATGACTGTGCCTCCTTGGTGGTTTCAAGTCGTTGGCTGTTTGAATGTGAAAGTTCTCCCTGGTCTGTTCTAGACCCTGAGCAAGCCACCCAGCACCCTGGGAGCTCAAGGAGAATCTCAGCCTCCCCACAGAATAACAGGACAATGTGACTATATCTGACAGGTTGTTATGAAAACAAGAGAAAAATGTATGTGAAACATTTCCTAAGCGATCAGTTCATTGCACTTATTAGAAACTTAAAAAGATGTTTTGATATGCAGATAATACACAGATCGCATAATGGTGATAAATGCTAAAGTATGCACCTGTCATGGTGCCTTGGGAAAATCACTTCCTACAGTCTGCCACGGCGCAAAGATGGACTTCCCATAGACCCTCTCATTTTGTACCCAAAGAAACTGAGACATGGAGAGGTCACCATCAACTTAGAAATTATGCACAATGTCACGCATGGGAAGGAGAGCTCAAATGACAGCCCAAAATCCGTGTCCATGCCCTAAGCCTCAGAACCCACAAATGGGATTCCTTTTTGGGAAAATCTCAAACTGAGATAATCCCTGGACTACCTGGTGAGCTCTAAGCCCAGGAATAGATGTCTTTATGTGAATGAGGCAGGGAGTGATGAGAGAGATGGACACAAAGACATGGAGGATAAGGCCACGTGAAGGTGGTTGCTTAACGCTGAACGATGTTGCCACAAGCCAAGGACACTTGGCACCACCAGGATCCAAAAGAAGAAAGGAAGGGTGCTCCCCTAAAGCCCTTGAAAGGAGCATGGCCCTACTGTGCTTTGGTCTTGAACGCCTGGGTTCCAGGGCTGTGAAGAGCAAGTTCTGGTCCCAAAGCTCCTGTGTTAGGGCACCTGTTACGGTGTTCCTAGGAAACTAACGCAGACAGCAGAGGCCAGAGCATGAAGTAAGGCTTTCTCTACCACAGCCAGGGTTTGAACTTTTGTATTTTTTCCTAAAACATGACGTTATCCTTCCAGGGTAGGAATGTAGGCATCAAAAACATTCACCCATAAGGTGACTTTACAATTCTACAGCAAAAGGCAGGGATGTTGGCTCACACCTGCAATCCCAGTGCTCAGGAGGCTGAGGCAGGAACATCACAGGTTCAAACACAGACTGCACAATTAGCAAGATCCTTTCACAAGAAAAAAATGAAAAAGAAAGGAACCTACAGCAAAGTCTCAGATCTACACGAAGCCACCTTTGAACTCGCAGCCTTGGAACAAACCCTGGTGCTACCTTGTTCTGTCTTCCCATCTTTCTCTTCCTCCTGTCTTTTACTTGCCGAGGCTTTGTGTTAGGAATCCAGGAAAGAGGCCATGTCTTCTGTGAAACAAATGCTTGAGCCTGAAGGAGCTCTTGGGAGGAGGCTGGGTTGTTTGCTGTTCCCCAGGAGGAACTCAGAAGCACGGTCCTCCGATGATAGAGGGGGATGCTAACTCATGACCAGTTCCTAGTAAGTGACCAGAGCACTGGCTCTGCTACAAACCCTGCCCCAGCTACTCATGAAGTCTGTTTATTCACAGTGGAAACACACACACACTTATCCTGAAAGTGGGAGAACATTCAGGAAATAACAGAAGGGAAAGAACTGGCTTTGAAGAGCTGGTTCTGGGCTCTGATCTCCTTTGCAAACCGGTCTTGAAAGTACCTCCTTCCAGAGCTGTTTCATGAGCCAGAAAAGATGTACACAAATGTCCCTGTTACAGTGCCAGGAATGTGGTAGACAGTACCTAAAATGACATTCGATGTGATGCTTGGGGACTACTCTGGTTTGGATAGTTTGTGCATTTTCTCCCAAGAGCTCATATGTGGGAAGCTTGGTCCCCCAGACAGACGCTAAGAGGCGAAGGAACCTCTAGAGGTGGAGTTTGGAGCCCGTGCCTTTGGGAACACCCCCCTGGATCCTGTGGGGGCTTGGTCAGTGTTTGAGGCTGTTCTAGATCATGCCTGCTCTCCTGGCTCACTGGCTTCCTGTGTCACCATGTGACCATTCTCTTGCATGTTCTCCTGCCATCATGATGCCCTCACTGGAGCAGAGGGGGAGCCGGGCCATCCCGGGGCCTCCACACTGTGAGGTCGGGAAACTTCTTTGCTTTCTAAGTGTCTGATCTCAGGTATTTTATTGTAGGGATGGACAATGACCTAAGATGGGGGCAAGGAAGCCAGTGATTCAGTCCAGTTCTACCACCCCTGTAACTCACACGCAAGGTCCTTCTGTAACATAGGACGAGCAGCCATAAAGGTGAATCATATCCGAGGTGCCAGGAGGAAGCACTCTGATCTTTGAAGTGTCTTCGAATCCCAGTGGTATAAAATGGGATCTGGTGAATGGGTGATGTAGGTCTTACCATGATGTAGACTGAAATAAGATTTACCAGTGAATAGAGTTGCACAGCCATTCAGATGTTGTTGCAGAGTAAGACTTTACTCTGAGCAGGGTGAAAGGGAGCATGCCTAGAATCCCAGTACTTGGGAGGCTGAGGCAGGAGGATTGCCATGAGTTCAGAGCAAGCCTGGACTACATAGTGAGTTCAAGGCTTGCCTGAGCTGCAAAGCATGACTCTGTCTTTAAAAAAACAAACAAAAAAAAAAAAACTTTACGTTGAGATACATACCTTCTGTAACATCCCAGTAAGTTTTCAGTTGCAGGTAAAGCAAGACAAAGCTGCATTTAGGGTGAAAGCTAACACTAGCAGCACTAACACTGTTACACTAGAAAAGCTGGTCCTCACAGCCCTGATGTACAATGCTCTGTGGATCTGCAACCCCAAATCCTCCTGTTGAACTTTTCTGTCAAGCGTCATCATGATATTATGCCTCATCCGCCTGACAAATCCCTTCTCATCATAAGTAAGCAAGTTTTGCTGTTATGGGCTAGAAATGAGGAAGGTGGACTGGCTGAGGAGAAAGGAGATTAGATTATACACACAAAGAACCCTCAATTACTGGTGAATGTAAGTGTCATCCCCCGCCTGCAGGAGTTCGGCATCCTCCCACAGAACTCGGGAGCCCTGGTTTACTCAGCTGTGCAGACTGAGCGAAGTGAGCATTGCTGTTATTCTAAGCACAAGAGTAACAGTGGCCCTAGCGCTAGATGGGCACCCCTCGGGGCGCGTTGTGTTTTCCTGCATCATGCCTGAGAGACTTTCCGGTCTCAGTGCTGGGCAGTGCTGCCAGCTCGGCTTCCAGGGCCAGCTGCCCTGGACACAGCGTCTCTTCCCACATGCAGGCCTCACTCTGCGCACCGATTTCGCAGTGCGGCGGGGACGCTGGTTTCCGGAACCCAGGCCAGTAAATACTTTCCTACCTCTCCCCTTCTAAACTGGGCTGCAGTGAGGGGCCTCTTCCCGCTCTGGGTACCCACAGTGCGGCCAGGAGCACCGGGCCAGGGCTTCTGGGGTCCGAGTGGGCACGCTGGGCAGGTCTCCGGTGCTGTCGGCCTTTGCGGTGTGGACACAGGGTGGCTGCGCGCTGCCTGCACCAGGGCGTGGGCCTTAGCCACGTGGTTTCCTGTGGCTGTGTTTTGTTTTGCTTTGCTTTGTTTGTGATACTAGGGATTGAACTAAGGACCTTCAGGGGGGCCACATCAATAGGCCCTTTTAAGATTTTTTACATTTCTATTATTTATTTATTTTGGCACTACTGAGCCTTTATTTTGGCAAACTCAGGGCTTTTGCTCTGAGTTATAGCCCAAGTTTTTTCTTCTCTTTAAAATCTTGAGACAGGGTCTTGATTAAGTCACAAATCGTCCAAGCTGGGCTCAAACCTGGGATTGTCCTGCCTCAGCCTCCCAGAGTGCCGGGATTATAGGCATGAGCTGCCGTGCCCCACCTAGACTGGTTACTTTTAGGGTACAGAAAGACATGTATTCGTTGCTTTAAAGGAAGAAGCTAATGAAGAGATGGAAGCATCCAGAGGCAGAGAGACAACTGAGGAAAGTAGAGGAAAAGAAGACAGCAACCAGCGAGCGGGGAGAGCGCACTGGAGTAGAGGTCCAGGCAGACAGGAGCGCGGGTGGCCAAGTCACCCAAGAGAGGCGCAGGGAGAGGGATGGAGGCGGCGGGGACGCGCTCCTGAGGCGGAGGTGCTGGGGCAGCGGCCGCGCACACATTCAGTTCTGCACAGCGAAGGGATTCTCACCCTGGACGCACCCAGCCGTCTGAAGGTGAAATAGTACCCGCAGAAAGAAGTCATAGAGTATCAGTGCGCGTTTAGTACAGTCAGTAACTAAAGGTCTGTGACCGCCACCCGCCAAGACAGGACACAGGCCGCTCTCCGTGGGTCCCCAGGAGCGAGCCCAGCGAGTCCACACGGAAGCCCCTGCCAGCTGCTGGGTGGCCCCCGCCTTCCCAGGCGGGCCTTTCCATCCGTTCTCTCTCTTTATGATAGGAATATCTCGTAGATACTCACCTGTGCTGTACATTATACGGTACAAATGCCTGGCAAGGTTGAACTCAGGAGCCCCTGGACCTTTGCACTGAGCTACACCACAATCTCTTTTTGGAGGGACAGGTCTACTAATTTGCCTAGAGAATTTACTCCAACTTGCAGCCCTTTGTCTCAGCTCCCAGTGCCAGGATTACCGGCGGGCACCACCGTGCCTGGTCTCTTTACATTTTGATAATCAGAAACTCGAAGTGTTAACTAATCACGTGTAAGAGACTTCCCCCTTATGGTAATCACTTGGGTAGCTTGTTAGGGAACATCTACCCTCAGCCAGGAGCACATCTGTCCTGCCACGTGCTCAGGAGGCAGAACCAGGAGCATCTCAGGAGAGCCAGGGCAACTTAGACCTCATCTCAAACCAAAACAAAGTTAAAATGTGCTGAGGGTGTAGCTCAGTGCAACATCAGCCCCGGTACTGAAAAAGCAAAGCAAAACAAGAAAGAAAACTCTCTATCTTTAATATCACAGCTAAAAACATCCTGTACTGCTTTTTGCTCCCCTGGGTGTTGGAGCCAGAGCCTCCTGCGTGCGAAGTCCACGCCGTGCCTGAGCCATGGCACCTTGCACTCCCTTCCAAACGCTGAGGTTTCTAACTAACACTCCTTTAGCTAGTGGGGTGTTTTCTTTTCTTTTTCTACAAGTGGGTACCTTTCCCCTCATTCCTTCATATGATCCTTCCTATAAATCAAGTGCACACATCTGCTTGAATTTGTTCTAAGGAACAGAGCGAAGGCTATTTAGTTCCAGTGACCTATCTTTGTGCCAAAATCATACTGTTTTGATGAAGTTTTATAATAATCTTGACGTCTGGTAAAGCAAACCCCATCTTCTGCTTCTCCTTCCTCTTCTGTTCCTCCTTTTCCTGTTTTCCCTTCCTCTTATCCCTCTCCTCCTCCTCCTACCCCTTCTCCAGATTGACTGGGAATTTTTTGCCATTGGCATCTCCAAAAAGACCAGAAATAACTTACTGAGCCACGTGCCTGCAACACAGCCCCGCAGGGCGGCACTTTGGATCTATGTGACCCTCCATGGGCCCGTGTAAGGCTTGGTCTCCAGGAGGGCAGCAGTGGGGGTGGTAAGCCTGTGGGGGGGGGCCTGTGGGTGTTTCAGTGTTTGCCCTTGAAAGGGGTAAGTGGGCCCCGTCTCCGGCCCTCTTCATCTGCATCCCTAGACATGAGGTGAGCAGTTTTTGTGCTACTGTGTGAGCCTTGCACAGGGCCCAGACCAACAAGACCTATGACCAAAAGGGCTGAAACCTCTAAAACCCTTTCTCTTCATAAGACGACTTGTCTTAGGTTTTTGTTACAGTGATAGAAAGCTGGCTAACATAGGGGAACCGACATGATCATAAGATCATTGTTTCCTAATATATGAACCTGGTATACATCTCCATATATTGGTCTTTCTTAACACCTATCAACAATGGCTTTTAGTTTTAAGAGTACAGTTGCTCTGCATCTTTAGTTTGCATTTTCTGGAAACTACTTGTTTTTGATGCTATGACAAATAGTATCTCTTTTGCTATTGTTTCCATTTCTGATTCTTTATATAAGTACAGACTAATTCCTATATATTGACTTCCTATGCAGCAGTCTTGCTAACCCTCATATTAATTCCAAAACTGCATGTGCATATTTGCTAGAGTTTCCACAGAGAGAACCCTGTCGCCTGTGAACACTGGTACTCTGCTCCGTTTCCCTGCCACCCTCTTCCTTCCTCTGCTAGGCTCTCCTGAGGCAGTGTGATGGATTCTGTTAGCAAAAAGGAGAAAGAAAACAAAGGCAGGAGCTCAGGAGGACATGTTTATCTCAGAATGAACCCGAGAGCACCCTGGCTCTCGGAGCTGTATAGGCTGTAAGCTGGGTGTAAGGAGTCGCGGACACCTGCCAAGGGCAAGGTGTGAGGAGCACACGGCGGTGGGTGCCCAGGCAGGAGTCTTGGGGGAGCACAGGGAGAAGCAGGCTGCTGTCAGTAGCAGGGCTGATTAGGATGGGAGCTAGGGGTGCAGCTGTGCTGGGTGGGGCTCAGAGCAGCCTCTGGTCAGCCTAGGAAGACAGTGGTTGGATTCCTTCCTTTCAGATCCTGGGGGCAGCAGCAGTCAGGGTTTCATCTGGACAGAAGAAGAGTGGTCTTTAGCAACTACCCGTGAAGCAGGCACAATCCTGTTGGTGAGAAACCTTTAAAGCAGATTGATTAGACATGGCAATAATAAACAGGTGAGTAAAAGAGGGGACCCACAAAGGGAAGAATCCGCGACACAGTAGTGGACTTCTACGAACCCCATGAACTTTACAGGGAGTCCGGAGACATTTGATGGATTGCCGAACCTCTGTGAATATTTCCTGCAGGGCTGCAGTTACATTATCATGATGATCTGGAATAAAAGTACGTGCTACATGAAGCATGGTGTGTGTGCCCCCTTATGCAACTATGAGGTAATATTAGGCCATGCGATTTTATGAAAGGATCTTTTCTACTTGGTATGTTTCACTCACTAATAATGTGATAGCCTGGTGAGTAGTGTTCAATGCACGGGCTAGGCCTTCACACCCACCTCTACCTTACCAGAAGCTACTCTTGGAAGGGTCAGGGGCTAAAACCATCAGAGAGTGCATTTTTCATGGTGCAATTGTGGCAAACAGCATCCCAATTTGGGGTTTTTCTGGTCTGAGTGAGCTCTCTGACCTGGTCTTGCGGTGTCCTTCCCATTAAAGCCCTTGTATGTTTCAGAGAAAAGTTGCCCTGTTTTAGCCTCTGCTGGAGCAGACACCAGAGCAGACTCCCTCTACACTGGGGGTGTTTCTCCACTCATAGCAGTGGGCTTTGTGCGAGGGCAAAGGATTCCAGGCACCTTGGCGCTGTCTCCATCTGCTCGACCCCTGGATGTTTGGCAGACTCTCGATGAGAGTCAAGAAAATTTGCCAAGAGCTGTTGATAGAGGCATGAGCACCACAGTGGGAAGATAGACGGGGGAAGCAGCCGTGGTCAGACACTGTTCTTAGGGGACAGGAATAGCAATTGTAACCAGCTGGCTAATGGACCTGTCCACAGATGTGGAAACTGTCAGCAGGGTCAGTGATGGGAGCTCCCTGTTTATTTCTAACCTTTGTTACTATTAGTTTTAAATCTTTTTGTACTTTTCTGCTCAGCGTTCAAGCCCAGGTAAAAGTGAAACCTGTGTTAATCAAAATTAGCCTCTTGCTGTCAATCAAGGTCAGTGAGGTTCCTTAGGCACTAACTACAAAGCCTCACAGTTCCTTTGTCAGTGCCACCTGCTGGGATGTGTCACAGCTGTGCTCGACCATGTGGTTTCCCAGGGAAACAGTGCAGATGTGGCTCTCCCTGGTGATCCTCCTCCTGAGCACAGGGTACACTTTGACTTCTGTCTTCCGGGGTCCAACACTCTTCCTGTTTAGAATGTTGGGGGCCCACCAAAGCTGTAGGATCTTGTGGTCCTCTCATGTCCTAGATCCTTATTGACCTTGAAGGTCCAGTACCAAAGTGTTGGCCATCTTTATAGCCCAGTTATCTTTTTTATCTCTGGTCTTCAAGCCTCAGTTGTTGAACATTCAAGAGATCAGCCATATCACTACGGCAGTGGGAGCAGTTGATCTGACTTCATGATCTTATCTAGATAGCAAGAACTTTGAAATGTACTATATGATCAGGGAACCATTAATTCCTTATAAATGATGGTGGTCTTAGAAGTTGAATACTTACAGAATGTTAACAGATAACAATTATAAAGTTTAACCAAGCAAACTTGAGATCAAAGGCAACATTATGTTTTAGCATAACAATCATGCTGACATCATTATATTAAGTGACATAAAGAAACTTCGATGGCTGTCTCATGTTAGGTTGATGTGCACATCTCATCAAAAGTAGCTGGAAAAAAGGGAAACACTGATGCTTGGGCTTAAAATTTTACCACCATAGCCAGTGCAGTGATGCACACCTGTAATTCCAGCATTTGAGAGGCTGAGGCAGGAGGATTGCCATCAGTTCAAGGCCAGCCTGGACTGCAAAGTGAGTTCAAGGCCAACCTGAACCATATGGTGAAACCCTGTCAAAAAAGACAAAAAAAAAAAAAAAGTTTACCATCATAAATAACTTTAGTCTGGAAGTTGCTAGTATGAAATGTTCTTCAATTCTGCACTTCTGAAGACCTGTACACTTGGGAAGTATAAATACATTTAATACACCAAAAGTCACAGAAAATTAATGTCATGAAGCTGGTGGGAACTGTCCAAGGAGG